TATATGAGTTTCTACAAATAATGTATTCAGGTTGTCTGTGTCTTCTCTTACAAATTTGGTCCTATGTTCTGACTCTGAAAAATTGGCAAAATTTAAATTGGGAAGAGTACAACTTGGCCGTGTATTGAGATCATGGATTTTATTTTCACTCATGAAATTTTGAGGCAAGATCATGAATTAATGTAAATTTTTAAGCCATCACCAATTTCACACCACATACAAAAATCATACAAAGTTGATTTATAGCTTATCAATTGCAACATTATAAGGAAGATGTTATGTGGACCTGAATTTGTTTGGTGCACTCACAGTAGCTCTGAATAACTGCCTCCAACACTTAAGGTCATAAAAATAAGAAGATACACATTTCTCTGTCACAGTTAACTTGATACTCAACTGTGATAGATTTATGAAAGAACTATGTATGAAAATCATTATTTCTAGAAAAGGCATTGCAGGAAATATCTGAGAAATGCTGTGGGGTTAGCAGACTTAGGACAAAAGAAAAAAACCTACAGGTTCAATTGCACATATGAAGCACTATTTTCTTCTTTTTTTTTTTTCCCCCCCCATCGTCTTTAGATGACAGGAAATGTAAGTAAGGCTCCAGTACTGCAAACCTTCAATAGGATTCCTCCTGGCAGCAAAGCAAAGTATACTCATTTGTCAGGCAATTTAGAGAGATAGTAGGATTCATAACCGAGTGTTTTGTTTGTTTACTTGTGCATAAATGGTTTATTTTGGGCTGATTTTAGGTTGTCTGTGTGCACAGGGCATCAAGCCATGTTCTGAGGCAGTTCTGCTTTGTTTCATTTGGGAAAAAATGGTTTGGATTATGGTTTGCCCTCAAATTATTAGCAGGAACAAATGGTGTTTAATTTATCTTGCTTTTCATTTGCATAATGATCAATGATAGGGCAGTGCTTGAGTTAGCTTGGAAATCATACAAATGTTTTTATTTGACCTGATTTCTAGATTTGGATAAGTTTCCTTTTCCTGCATGTAAATATCCATAAAAACATGTTGAAAATTTCAGGTCTCACCTAGTTGTTCACTTTGTTGTGGCTACTGCTATCTTTATGAGTTTGATTCTCAAACACTTATGTACTAATGTTCCACTTGATAGCTTGTTAACACACATTGTTCAAATAAAACCCCTTCCCTGACATCTGATTTAATGTAATATTCTTCTTGGAGAATTGTGGAAATAAGAGATGGAAAAGTAACCTTGTGCATATTTTTCACTTTTATATGGTTTTTCTCCTGTTTGTGATGCTCATCCAATGTTTATTGACTGCCAGCTGTCTGTTAGTTAATAGGTGGCCTGACACCACACCTTATTTAGGCAGAAGGCCTTCTGCCTCTGAAGCTCAGGCAGTTAGTCATGTTATCATCATCCACAGAATACTGTTTTTCCTATGGAAAGACTAGAAGCTGCCCTGTTTATAAGCTGGCTACTAAGAAGGCGTAAAACCCCATACAGTTTTGACTGTTCCTCTACATGGAAAGTACAAAATAATTTAAGAACTGTGTTTCTCTTTTTTACTCAGGCAATGTTCCGAGTAAGATTTCAGCAGAATTGCTTTTGTGATGCAGCAAAAAAAACCCCAAACCTGTCCAAGGACTTCACTGTCTGTTCCCTTTTGCTGTCTTTCTCTTTTTTTACATCTTGCTAACAGACACTGCTGTTACCCAAATTAACCTCTTCTGAGTTTTTTCTTTTTTTCCCCTGGTATTTGGATCAGGCTTCTCTCTGGGTGGGGCGAAAAGTGAACTCTCGTAACATACAGTACAAATTAGGTCTTTTCAAAAACAAAGACTTCCCTTAAGAATAGCTGTATTTTATTTCTGACAAAAGAAGGGAAAACACAAGTGTGCTCAGTAAATCAAGAAGTCAAATGTGTGTAATCTGATGCCAAGTGTAAACATGTATGGACTTTACAAGGCTTGCCGACACTAGATGTTCTGATTTTCTTTCATTTGAAAAAGTGCTTTTGAGTATTCACAGTAGTGCTTGCAAGAGGCAGTCAAAATCACAAAGTGAATAAGAGCAGGTCTATGCAACAGCTTCTGCTGGATCAAGACACTTTTAGTTTTTTTATGAACACACTATTTTTTGCTTAGAGTAGGTAATGTAAATGTGGTAGATCAAGCTAGCTGCATATGCATCGGGACTTTTTGGCCTGACTTTTTGGCAGAAAGTTTGTTAAGTGAATACTATAAAAAGCTGCTAGAGAGTCAAAATATAGTCCCTCACATACTGCAAAGCAGTTTGATTTCAATGGAGGTTAAATAAATAACATGATATTGGGCATAAAGACCACCTGAATACTCTTCCAGCACTGAAGGGAGTGCATACCTTTCTGTGTCCACTGAAGGAAAAATGGAGTGCAGAAGTTAATGCTTTAATTAATAAAGATGTTGTCGTGTCTTCACTGCTATTCTATCAGGCTGCTGCTGTAACAAATCATGGTATTACTCCATCTGTGCAGAAGTACTGCTGTAAAACTAAAATTTTCAGGCTGCGCAACATTTGTACTGAATGTTTCAAGCTGTGTTAATTATATATCTGTAAGCACTCTAGTACTAGTGTTAGTTGGGTAGATACCACAGGTCTGCCAAGAATTTTTTCACATAATTGTAATATTAACAGTATTTTTGTAGCTGGGTATTTGTTTTAAACATATCACAAGAGTTTCTAAGCACTAAAAAAATTGTGTTTTCAGCTACTGAGTGGGACTTCTGTTCTTCAGCCCTATCTCTAATTACACTCCATGACTGGGGGAACATGTGTTTAATTTTTCAATTTTTTTTTTTTTTTTAAAAAAATAATAATTTTTTAAAATTTTCTTCATGCATTAGAGCAGTTACCAGATTGTTTTGTGGGGAAGCAAAAGTAATGACTTTAGGCCTTTACGTTTCTTCTGAGGATGGTGCAGCATGTGGTGGCCTTTATTTCTAGTAGAGAGATACTGATGAAAATGCAGTTTTTCAATGCTGAGAGACAGTGTGCCCCAGAGTGGATGCTCTGAACCTCTCAGCACAATGGGAAAGTGAAAGATCAGGAGAATGTTACATCACCTTTCTTCCTCCTCTCCCTCACTTGGCTGAGGACTTGTTGAGCTACCACACAAGCTTCAGCAACTGTAGGACCATTCCAGCCTAAGACTTTCATCACTTCTGAAAAATTTGGCACCAGAAGACAACTGGAGAAATGCATGACTTGCAGCTCTGGAGAAGAATGGTGCCCAAGGAGCTGCAGCAGTAGTTTGGGATTGCCACACTAAGCCAATGTCCCTAGTGTGGGCATTCCCTACACAGGCCTGAAAGCAGAAAGGACAGCAAAGTGCTTAGTTCACCCCACCTGGGAGTCACCCTGTGGCAGGCAAACTCCCACCTGGCCCTCTCTGGACACGTGAAGCAAATGTAGTACTAGCCAAGTCCCTAGCCCTAAAAATCTCTCAGGGATGCAGTGAGACTAATTCCCTCTCTGTAGCCATCCAGTCGGTTGTGGTTGCTCCTCAGGAGGGACTGACAGGAAGGGAAGGGATTGTGTGCTGCTGCCTGCCTTGCCTGTGACATCAAATCTGAGGGACACCTTCCAAAGAAGGGTCTAGAAATGCCTAGATGGATTCATACAGGGCTTTTCGTTCCCTCCCATCTTCTGCCAAGCTTTTTACATGTAAAATCAGAGAACTGGCTCCTCAAAGTCACTTGGTTGAATATAAACTCTCAAAAGTGTCACGTAGCCCTTGGAATAATTCCAAAAAAATCCCAGCTTATTTGGAAAAACTGTTCCTTGAAAGAAATGCACAAACATTGGTCTGGATCCAAAGCCATGAAGTCAACAGAGAGACTCTCATTACAGTGGGCTTTGGATCTGACTGACCCACTGGTGGCTATGGCCAGAACAATGGTCTGTTACAATAAATAATTTTTGGATTCATGTTTTCCTGATGTCTGCAAAGTTTTGGTAAGAGTAGAAAGAAAAGAACAACCTGACAGTGAAATCTTCTCTTTTCCAAGCTCTTGAAACTATAGGGCATGACTCTTATTGTTCTATTTTGAATGCAGTACCTTTTCTTCTCTCTTTTTACAAAAATTGGAGATATATGTAACCACTTAGAATGAAGAGTGAATTAGCCATGTCAAGGCCTTGCTTTTAATTTTCTTTTCTGTTTGTTTTTCTTAATTGCTCAGTTCTTTTCACTATCTGAATCCATAGGTCATCCTACATAATTTAAATACTCATCAGACAGAAGAGACAGAGAATAGCAGGGACTCAAAAAAATTCAAATATAGTCCTAATACTCTCTATCTTGAGTTATTCCATGTGCTTTTGCATAGCAGAGGCTTGAAACTGCATATTTGCTAGTGTCATTTGCTTTGCATTATTTTTTTTTTATCATTTGGCTTTGGGTTTTTTTACCGTTAACAGCAGACACAGTGAACTTGCTTTGTCAGAAAACCACAGCCTTCACTGCTAAATGCAGTGGAGGGCAAAACATTGGTCTAGAGGTTGTAGAAAGGAGTTTATCATGTCTTAGGGTATCGTGACAAAATATTTTGCCTCCAAAAAAAGCCAAGAAAAAATTTAAATCTGTTAAGAGAGGGATTTAGATTATCACCTGTAATATTATCAAACTCTAACTTTCAAGAACTGTAAGTCAAGTCATGAAATCGCCTTAAAAATCACAGGTTATGAAAATAGTGTTTTGAGTTCTGGGCTTGGTGCTAGTAGATTTCAGTTTCAGGCTTTTCTTTGTCACCAAGACTAGACACCTAATTTCTTTCTTTCACGACAGCTGAGATTCCCACAAAATCACTTTTTATTTTAAATAATAGGCTTTAAAAAAAGCCTATTTTGTAAGATTCACAGCTGAATTCCAAAGAGCTCACAGCACTGGTCTTACATGAGGTACAAGCTGATGGTAGATAAGCAGGTTTTCCAGACTTACTCTTATAAATACATTCTGTTCCTCACCTCCTTGGATACATACCATCTTAACATCCTTTAAGATTGTGCTCATAAACACCCAAGGAGCACCTGCTACCCTTAACTGTGCAGAATGGTCTCTACTGTGCCTGCAGTGGTAGAGGGTCTCCATTTCCAAGGTCAGATTGGCTGCTCCAGGTGTGTCCTCTTCTCTCCTTAAGAAAGCAGAGAAGGAGAAAGCAGAGGGCAAGAGGGTGCAAATGGCTCTGTCTCTCTAATTAGCAATGCTAGTTAGTTGCCTTTTCCCAGAAGCCATGCAGATGGCGGATGGGTGACAGTGGTAATAGGTTTTCCTATTGCCAAGTCTGGAAATTTAATAGATAGTCAAATTTTTCATGGGCAATAGTACATCTGGGAAATTGATGCACTGGCAGAGAAGAAGCACTGGATGCTCTAGTGGTCTTCACTGACTGACCTGCTGAGATTGAAAGTATAGCTGTATCATCTTGAAGTGTTTCAGAGTGATGAATCAAAGTGCACTCTCCTTTTAGACTCACAGTGGAGACATTAATGTTCTGGAAACAGCACCACACTCACAAATAAGCTCTAAAGGTTTCTATCTTGGGCCAAACTTTGGGATTTGTGATAGCAGGATCTCACAAATGGGCTCTGCTTTCTCCTTCTGAAGGAACTAAGAAGAGAAAAGAGAAAATGTGACCCATATTTCTGCCCTTAATTTTGGAAAGGGATGACTGTTTCAAGGAGAAAAGTTATAGCTGGGATTGAGAATCGGGAATGGGATGAGGTTGTCTTACTAAGTCTCAAGTGAAGGAGGTTTGGCATCCCTGTGGAAGACACACAGAGATGATCTGAATGGTGGGGCCATGCACTCCTTCATCCATCAGTTTTTGTAGCTGGAGCACAACCATAGCACAGCCCTGTGCAAAGAGGACAGACTAATTCCTGATTTTGCTCATTAATACATTTTAACAGCTCCTTTTTCTGAGTATGCAAGACAGAATGATCAAAAAGTCTTCAGGGTGGGGACTGATGTGTGCTAAATAAAAACGGTCTTAGCATCCTTTGACTGGGAAAATCCATACTTGGCCCTACTTCTGTAAGTTACTGCCTCTGTTTTGGAAAAAAAAAAAAAAATGAAGCACTGTGGTTTGGTTTGGTTTGGCTTGGCTTGGCTTGTTTTTTTAAAGTTTTTTTGGTGGGTGGGTGTTTACACTTTTGGCAAGGCCCTTTTAATGCTGAATGTCTGGAGTCTACATGCTGTCATACACAAAAGTTTGTGGTTTCTTTAATACCCTGCATTCCTAAAAATACATAATTATTTGCTTTCTGACTTCGTAATGGAATAGTATTTTGTGTATGTGTATACATATATATGTGTGTGTGTATATACATACATATATGTGTGTGTGTGTGTGTAGATGTCGTCATGTAGAGTAAATGTGGAAATAGGGAAGACCTGAGGAGGATAAACAGAGAGTCAAAGTGAATCTCAGAGGAGATAAGTGGTGAAAATGGGTAAACAGAAAACTCCACTTCTGTGGGAAAACATGGAGGAGCTAAACCACAAACAAGAGAGGAAACAGCCAAATCTAAACAAGGAATTCAGCAGCAAGCTGTGGCAAATGTGATTTTAAAGAACAGAGTGTTCACAACAGACATGCGTCACTGCTGAAAATGAAGTATGTGAGCCCTGCTTTCCTGCTTCCCCATCCCCAGTACCTCCACAGAAGGCTCAGCCTCTCCTGTCCACCTTATTTGTTCAGTAGTGGACTTCATACGATTGATTCAGTTCTCATTAAACTGATTTACTGGGCTCGCTGGCTCTGCTCAGCTTCAGTTTATTCCTACTTTGTTTAAAATTCGGGAAGTGCTGGGGGAGGGGACAGGACACTAATGGCTGTTCTCGTGTAAGTGGAGTGGTAGCTGATTTATTGCAAAGGTTATAAAGAAAAAGTATTAAGTGTGTTCCATTCTACTTGGCAAAGCCATCCTGCACAATGTCCAACAAAACCCTGAGAGCACTGGTTTGTACTGAAAAAAAAAGGAAAAAAAAAAAAGGGAGGAGGGGTGTGTGTGTGTGTGGAAGGGGGATGCTCCACCAAGATGTGCTCCTCTTCTTTGAGAGCATTAATTAAGACTGTAAATCATGAGCAACATGAAACAACTGTATTTGATGGAACATGGACAGTTCTGGAGTTCTGCTGTGCTTGCGCCATCAGTTTGAATACCTACACTGAAACACTAACGGGAGAGCAAACTTCAAAGAGAAATTCTGGCATGAAGAAGCAGTCTGCAGGATCATTACATGGATAAAGTTGTAAAATAGACTCCTCCATGCAAACTGGGAAGGAGGCGGAATGAAAGTTTGAAAGGTTTATAGGAACTCGGGCTTGTTTTCCTTTCATGCACAAAGTCAGTCCCACATTAATTTGGTAAAATAAGCATGTGTATTAGTGTTTTGAATAAAAAGGGGGATAGGAGGGTGACAGCAGAAAAAAAAAGTTGTACTTAAATAATGAAAAATTCTGTTAATATCCTTTAAAGCTAATTTTCTTTTCCTAATTAATAGTTAAAGGAGTTATTTTTGTCACATCATAAGTAGTGGTGGGTCATATTCCCCATATTTATAGAATTAAAGTCTAAATTTGTTCCAATCACGTAGTTTTATTTTCAGCAGAACATCAGTAATAGAAATTCACCCAGTAATTTCTGTTCAGTTGTCATATCCTAGACAAATGTGCTGAAGCTTATATTTAGTTATTATTTATTTAATCTTGTTTCAAAGGCATTAGGTAAAGCAGACAACCCCTTGTGTCAGGTTGTTCACTTTATCATTTATTTAAAATAAAATTTCATCTTTAAAATTTATTTCTCCTTGAGTTCATCTAGTTACAGTTTCTTGCTGTTGTCTCTGTACTAGGCTGTAGTGGAGCAGTTCTAGTGTAATTGAGATGATTTTCATCCATTGTGGCATATAGTCCATTTGTTCCTCATTTTCCATTGGTGCAAAGAACTGGATGCAAGCAACATTTTGATGAAAAATGGTCTATCCTTAATAGTTAATTCACAAGCAACTTATTTCCCAGCACAACATTTTAATGTAATTATAAGTAGATTTCTGTCCAACTACTTGTCCAGGATTCCTTAAAGTTTTTGGTTTGCCAAATGTGGTTTGAGATGCAATTAATAACGTGGTGGATTCCAGAATTGCTGATGAGGTTAATTTTCTTTCTTGTAAAATACAATACTGTAATAGAGACATTCTCTTTAGATGCATGCGATGGAAAAAAATTTGTAAAGAATAACTTAGGAAAAAAGATTATCTGGAGTTACTTCTATTCAGGAATCAGGAGCCCTGCTTGCAGCAATGGCTTCCATGCTTACCACAAAGCCACTTCTTCCACTGACCCTATTAATTTTATGAAGGATAACCCTGTGATGTTATGATACTATTTTGGACATATTCATTAATATGGATACATTATTTCTGTATTTACAGGTAGTTTAAATGCCTATGCAATAAACAGGGAAAAGGAATTTGTTATATTACAGGAATGTACATGCTAGAGGGTTTATGGAATGAGAATTTGAGTGCCTTAAACCAAAGGGTTCAGAGTCATTTGACTTGTCATAACTTGCAGAAATAGACAAATTACCTGTATGATACTTAGGTTGTAAAGGAAAGTACTTCATGTTAAGCAGAGTGTATCCACTATTTTGTCACTGTACTGGTACTTTAAAACAGTACCTCTCTTTCCCTAACAACAGAAACAAACACATTAACTGACATTCTATGACGTTTAAGGCAGCAGGTTTTTTTTCTTCATTGGGAAGCAGGAGTGTGCTGGCTTAGCCTGCAGTGCCTTTCAGAGGCACTCAGATGGACTTGGACAGGAATAAATGTATCCTTTTTGCCAAGAAGGGTTGCACCATAGCATGATCATGTGTTTGGAAATGCTTACACTTGCATGTCCAAATATAAATAAAGGGTGCACAGTCTTGAACTGTAGCTATGCTGGAAAAGAAAGTCTTCACAGAAACTCTGGGATAACAGTAGACTCCTCTTTTACCTCCCCACTCTTCTCTATCAACCAAAAAAATAAGAAACACAGCGCAAATAAACCCTGTGTTAATAATTCTTTATTTCAGTGTTATTACAGAATTTCATACAAAGGGCACATTCTCAACTTACCACTGATTTCCATGGACCTAAACCAGTGTTTCTTACACCCAGCCAGAGAGGCTGCATTCAGTAGCTAAGGATATTGTGTATACCACCACACAAAAACGTACTTTCCTTATTCTGTTGTCTTCTGGGCACTGCTGTGGCTGGTTTAGATTGGCTGTGACTAAAAAGGCACTCACTGGAAAACCATGCATGAAAAACTTCTCACCTGAAATGATTGGCAGATGCAAAGGATCTGTCCCAGGCTCTTTAAAACAAACACACTATAACCTTGGTTCCCAGGTTGCCCTGGTGTATGTATTCCTATCAATTCTTAGTTCATCCAGGAAGACTACCCAGCTCAGGGTTTAGTTTCATTCATAGATAATTTCTATGTATAGGAAACAGTCAAACATTTCTGAATGAGAACTGATAAAGCGAAGCAGAACCAAGGGAGATGCTTTTCCATTTCTTATTGACATCAGATCAAGACACAGTGTGCTCCTGGGAAATATACTCCATGCAAATGAGATCCATGGAGTTACCAGCCAAGTGAAACACAGGCTAGTGCTCTGTAAATGAATGGACTTTCTGCCTGCGCTGGCTGAATCTGTGATAGCAGCAGGGTTGAGCAAATGCCCTTCAACACCACTTGTTACTGAAGTGGTTGCTGTTGCACAGTCTATACACCCAGGTAAGTGTGTTTTGGGTCTCGTCTTGTGGCAGGCATATTTACTCAGAAGAGAAAACATCCAAACTAAGTTTCATGGCAGGCATTTACCTCCATCATGACACTGGGCAGGAAGCAGGGTGGCATATTTTTCATTCATCTTCACATGCCAAAGTTTGAGTCAATTTTCTCTAAGCTTCCTTTACTGTCCGTGGAGAAAACCAGCCAACATTTACAACACATTTATCAATCTCTTTCAGACATCAGCAACAGAGAAGTTCATATTTAGACAGATGGAACTGACACTTAGCACCAGACTTTAAAGTGTGTTGAGACAGATGTCTGATGATGCAGACAGGTATGTCAAAAGATGGTGGAGATCACTCTGGCTGTTCTTTTTACCTTGAGAAGACAAAACACCTTTAATAATCGGTCTCTGAGCTGCTGGGCTAGTGATGCTGGCCTACTGGGCACAGGAGCCTTAGGTGCTGGATATCTACACTGTGCTGCTGGGGAGGGTTGCTAGCAGCTGTGACCTGACTCATCCAGCATTCTTTTGGACAACAGCTGGACAGAGCATGGATGTTAAAGGTAGACCAGGTGTCATTGTCATTGCTGTAGGTGACTTGCATGCAGCCCTGTGAAGGAGTCTGAGTGGTGCTGGTACATGTGACATAGGCTCTCCAGGGTGAATAATCTGCAGTGCCATGGAATGGTTGCAGCCGTGTCTGTAGCCTGTATGTCCCTGCTCCTTGTTTATTAAATCACGGCCGCAGTGTTCCCTGGCTAGGAGCTGTTTATAAGTACAAGTTAAAACTTATGGAAGAGTTC